GAGGCAGGCTGCTCCCAGGGAGCTTCTTTGGTGGAGGAGGATGAGCTGTTCAAGTGACAAAAGCTCCCAGGTTAATCCAAACCCTCCCAAGACAGAAAGCACTTCATAAAATGTTTTAACAGCACAACTGATCTGCTTAAAGCCCCTACCCCAGCACAGCCTTGCTGCACCCTGCCCATGGCATAGTCCTGCTCCTCCACCTCCTGTCAGCCACTGGCAGAGGCAGGACACTGGCACAACCAGACCGACACCGGCACAACCAGTGCAATGCTGGCCCAACCAGTCCAACACTGGCCCATCACCACTCCAACCAGTCTAACACCAGCCCAACAGATCTGACCCCAGCCCAAGACCAGCCCAGCCAAGCCACTGGCCACACCAGGTCTGGATGAAGTTAACCACTCAGCTTCAGAGCTAAAAAAAATCATGGTGAAAAAAAAAGCTCCTCTAAACTCAAACACACTAGCATCACTCTTCCTCCAGATTCTTTCCAACCCATCAGTGCCTCTGCTGGGACAGCACATAGCCCAGGCAAACCTCTGCCGGGCAGCCTACCCATGCATGCCAGCACCTCCTGGCACAGGAGTCCTCCAGGACCCAAGACTTTTTGGTGCCATGAGACAGGGACTAATGCTTGCCAGCAATAACCAAACTGAGGTGTGAGTCCAGAGTTGTCCCAGCACCACCAGTTATCTGAGCATGCAGTGGCACAACGTAAGTACCGCAGGCTCCCCAAAGAAAATTATCCTTGTTTTATAGTGAAGCGATTCATGAGGGTTATTTCCATGGCAACCAGAGTGGCTCTGGAAGAATCCAGAGGGCCTTTATCTCCTATTTTAAATCATAAAAGAAGAATGAGCTGAAGAAAAACACTTCTGGGGAAACTGGTTGCAGAGCTGATTGGTAAGGGAGCACGAGTTTCTTGACAGCTTCTTGAGCATCTAACTAGCACAGTGGTTAATGACTTCTCTCTCACACAAAATACTTGTTCCCCTCCCTGTCACAGCCATGGTGTTTCTGGGGGACCTGCACAATGTGGTGATCATCGTCAGACAGTGATGCTGAAGCAAACTGCCATGCAGTGTCCCTTATTCACGATCTCCTGTAGCACCTCGCTGTAGCACTGTTGGGTGGCAGAGAAGGAGACGTAAAGAGGGCAGCGATTGATGCACTGCATTGCTCTTTCACCAGCATAGCCCACCCCAGGACACTGGTTAAACGGAGGTGAGACTGGCTCAGGGCAGTCCATGGGCTGCAGCAGACCTACATGAGGACCAAGCACTGGGATGCACCTCAGGTTTGGGGGATGTGCTAGGCAGCACGCATGGGACCCTGCCACCTTCGGAGCCTTTCTCCAAGCAGGACTGTGCTCCCCTCTGCAGCCCCAGTGCTCCCCAGCACAGCCCAGTGAGGTCCACCAGCACCACCATTATCCAACAGCCGGGTCAGAGGGAGGAAAGCCGGCATCAGTGCAGGATATGGGGCAATGTGTCAGAAGACGGGACAGGAGGGGGGGGGATCTCCCTGGCTGGGGATCATCAGAGCCTCAGAAACACAACCCTTAACACTGAGTGATTGCCCCTGAGTCCACCTCCTTCCTCCATGGCCTGGCAATGTTTGAAAACAAGGTTGGCCAGTAGAAAATCCCACTCATCTGCTGGTTATTAACAGTGAGACTCACAACATCCTGAAACCAAGTGCAGCCAGTGTGGCACCATTCGCCCATATGAATGAGCATGGGACAACAAGAGTGATGGAGCTGCCTCAAGGCCTTCTCTGCCTCGCCGAGGGGAACTGAAGATTGATGTCTCCCTCACTCTCCCCTTTGGGATTTTGCCTTATGTTATTGCAGAGTGGAGCAGTGGGTGCTGTGTCACAAGACCATGCAGCCTCCCGGGGCTGGCTGTGCTTCCTTGCCTGCTATGGAGCAGGTTTCTGCTGGGCTTTTTGGACCAGGACACCAGTTCCACCAAGCTGAGCTTGGGCATCTCCTGCCAATTCCTGTCCAGTTTTACCTCGCCCTGTGCAGGCAGGGAGACTAACGAACAGGCAGCCTGGGACCATGAACATGGCAGCTAGTGGAGCACTGCGCCGGGCTCCCTCCGTGGGAGGCACAGGACGACTGCGAGACAAATAAACAGCAATAGAGCCAAGGGAGTGATGTGAAAATATTTGTTGAGCATTTGGATTGGGAAAAAAAATTGAATGATGTCACAAATATTCCTGGGTACATGGACTATCTCTGTTCTCTGTAGAAAAATACTCACAACTTGCTCAGAACATGCAATATACGCTATGTTTACATGTGTATTCATTCCAAGCACCATATTATACATATACACAGATACATATCACATCTGAACAGGTCTGTATAAACAGTGTATTAAATTCACTGTCAAGGTACTTTACCCTTCATCTTCCTCTGCCATCAGGCTTTGGAAAGGGCCCCACATGGGGCCAAATCTGCCCCTTCTCCCAGGCAGTTATTTTGTCATTTCAGACATCTTCCACTATCCATGCTCTGGCTAAGGAGGGTGTATTAAATCTATAAATCTCCTTGGCAAAGACATATAATTGCATTTGGGATCTGAAACATTTTCTTTTGCCATTCCCGCCTCCACGGTTGCTCCCCATGCGCACGCCCCTGCCTGCAACCAGCAGCCTGCCCATAATGAAGGTGTAAATATAAATATATTAATCAGGTGCTCAAACAGGCTCTTCTATAATTACAGATAGGTTTTGCTTAACTCTCGTACCCAGCCCTGTTCTGATCCCTGGCACCGGGGATCTGATTCCTGCCTTGGCAGAGGGCAGCTGATCCTATGGGCTGAGGGCTATGTGCCTCCTTGTGGATTTAATATAGACCTGCAGGCCTCAGGGAGACGACGCTGCTAAACAGCAAACTGTGTGTGCTTCTTTGAGTGGCTGATTGGATTATTCTTTTAGTTAAGAGTGCAGGTTTTCTGGGATATCATTTTCCCTGCTGAGCATGGGAGCTGGATGCAAGTGTGGGGCTGGCCAGAGCTGGGGACTGCATCCAGGTCCCCATGCCCCGAGACCTCCACTGCTGCTCCAAGCACTATTACACTGCAAAGACACAGTAATTCCCCATTAATATCCCTTTCCAGCGAGACCTGTAGCACCAGTGTCTTGCTCTCTTCTCCTCTGATACTCATCCAAACCACGTACCACATCCCCCACGGATGTTTTTACACCTGCTCCGTCCTGCTTATCCCATTCAGTTTCCCTTCCAGAGCTGCAAAGAGTGCACCACTGCTTTTCCATTTCAGTCCACACATCAAATAAATGGGGTAACGTGCTGCTATTTACCTCCACTTTGCTGCTGCTTTCTATAGCCTGTCTCCAGTAAATGCCACCAAACATTTTCCTGATCAACCCTTCCCATGCCTTGTGTGAGCAGATCGCTCTCTCTAGCATGGGAGCCTGCTCTTTTTGGAAAATCGTATTTATAAAGGTGCAGGCTATGCTGAGTTCTGTCTTATGATGTGGACTGGATGATAGAATATAAGTCTATGAGAGTATGCGTAGCGCAATGTTGGGATTTTATTACTTAACTACAGCCTATAATCTTGGTTCAGCTTTAGGAAAAATCATACAGGTGATTCTCATGTTCATTTAAAACAGCCCAACTCCCTACATTGAGATTCGTTGGATGGATGGACATTGGGTACAAAGATACTCCAGCTGGTGCAGAGGAATACTGGAGTGTCAGTAAAGATCTGATGATTTTTGGCAGGCCAGTAAATCTAATATCTCTGAAATTAAAATGACAGTGTTTTTTTTTTTCCCCCCACTCACTAACTCCCAGCTGTGACATTTGGTCTGAGGAGCCGGGTCTGAAACGTGTGTGCTCAGAGGCTTTTCAGCAATCCCTCAGGCCTTCCTTCTAGCAAATGTCTTATTTGCCGTTGCAAAAACAAGTAATTAAGAATACCAGCTCCAAAGTAATCCTTCCCTTCATCTTATTAAAAATTTGTCAGTCTGTCCTAGGGAGATTTAATGAGGTTTGGTCTTATTAATTCCACCCTGAAGAGTTATTTCCTCCTTTCTTTGCTTGAGAAGTTAAAATATTTATGGAGATAATATAATAATTGCTGCTCAATGAAGCTGCTTTTGCCAGAAGCTCTTGGAGGGGCACACCTCCAAGCCTGCTCTGTTCCATCCAGCTGGTCCATTAGTTCAAGGCTAGAAAGACTTTGGCATCACAGATACCACCCTGCTGCAGTGTTTTG